AATGTTATTTGTTATTATTATATATGTTTAATTGTATATGTTTGGAATGTAATTGTTCTATATGTTTAAACAAATGTGCGTTATTCAGTGATACACGTAATATACAGGCAGAGATGGAATTAAGTGTACACTTCAGAGATGTAATGTCCGTTATAGGAGTAACGAACAATTTGTAATGTTTTCAGATGTAATGATTGCAACTTTTTGCTTCTACAGACGGATATACGTAAACAACGGGTAGTTTGGAATTTATCTGATTCATTGAGAATTTTACTATGTCGAAACTAATGTTGTTAAATGATAAATAATGATTTCAATTAGTTTAAATACATTTGGTTAGTTTATTCAAATAAATGGAATCCGCATGTTAAATATATATATATAATATAAACCAATGAATAAATGATACGAATATTTGTTTTATTACGTATTAGTTGGTAATACAGTAGAATCAGCAGTTATATAAAACTCTAAACTAATATTTTAAAGATGGTAAACAACGTTAATAATTAAATTCAGTCTTCAGTGTAATTACATCGTAAACAGCATTTTTACTGATTGCAGACAGAAAACATTCTACATGAAAGCAAGTGACAGAATAGAAGTGACACTGGAATGCTTAAATGTGGCAGTACTAATCATGATTTTAAACAGTTTTTAAAGTGCTATCCGGGAAGCGAATATTTCAAGTAGCGCGGAGAATGTTTAGACCTTGTATAGATGTAGACAATGTGTTTCAATGTGAGAGTAACCAATTAAGTAATTTACATTAGCATAAGTACGCCAGTATAAAATACGATTCTGTTTGAGAATTCGCAGGACTTACATATTACTTCTCTCGGAGAAGTAGGTCAGAATAATTATCATGTGATCAATAACAGCTCTAGCAAAGAAATCATTGATAATTATTATATATTGATAATCACTGAACGAAACGGAGATCGCCGAATATTCTGAATACGAGAGTAAAACATAATTGTTTCGACTCCATCAAGATTTTCTACTACTGAGGATGTGATCAAATAATCCGCAAAATTCTCAATATTGTATTAACAATTTTTTATTACCATTATTGTTACCGAGAATTAGTCAGAAGCACAGAGGGGCGCGATAAGAAATCAAAAAATTGTTTCTTAACGACAAGTAATGATTAGAACTAATTTAACCGAATAACATAATTATTACCTTATTTCGTAATTACTCAGAATTAAAAGTGTTTGTGTAATGAATAAAAAAGATTGCGTTGTATGTCATGTATGAAATTAACTTGATCGGAATTTGTGTAAATGAGCAACCACAAATTTTTTTAATTTGTCGAAGTGAAACACTTTCGTGCCGAAAAGTACTGTACATGGCATCATTTAGTACTATGCAATAAAATTCATGTTGTATTATAATATTTTATGGGGTTCTTTATATTCCTTATTTTATAAAATTTCTCCTATGAATTTACAGAACGTGTTACAGTTTTTCAGAACCTTATTGCAATTGTCTCCACATCCTTAAAACTTCATGTAGTCATCTTTAAACGCATAAAAATGGACAAACATGCTTTTGCATGAATGCACAAAATTTTGTACCTGTTTGTTTAAAAGATTTAATATTACAAGCGCAAAAATATGAAATATATTTGAACATCCAGTAGCTTCTCCAATATCAAGATCCATATACTGTGAATGAATTCTGAACATCTAAATTGTAAATTCTCTTGGTACTTACGTATTATACGGACTAAGAAAATACCTCTGTTTTCTAACTGAAGGTAGCGCTGGTCTGTTATTTGGGTTAGGTCTAGGTTAGTATTTATTTAATATAATAACACATTATTAATAATTTATTGTTATTACTATTATTATTATAGGATTGGCACGATATAGTGACACTTTGGAAGAGTCTTGAATGGAAGTATAAAGCGAACAAGAGTGCTAAGCGTGAATCTTGAGCGAGCATCAACGGATGCATACAAATTTTGTGATCTTAGATTACCATTGTTATTAATATTATTATTAATATTGTATTACTTGAAAACAAAGATAGTTCGTGTAATACGTAAGTGCCACCCTCTTTTGCGACTGCGTATAAAGTGCAAAACACGAAGAAGGAAAACAGCAAAAGGTAAAAAAGGAACTTATATAAGAAGGAAGAAGGAAAAGCATTCCAAATACGGTGGTTGCTGTTTCATGTTCAGTGGCCGACATCAACGAAACGCCAGAACGCGCTGAGCCATCAGTGCGTCGAAGCGCAGTTATTGAAAAAGGCAGGGAGAAAAACAATAATAAAATGAAAGATCAATCAGAAAAAGTGGGCAACTATAATGAAAGTTGCTCCGCCGGAACATTGTATTCCCGTAACGAATCTTTCCGGTCGACGTGACCCATGCTTCGTCGTTTCAACGTTCTTCCAACTCTCGCCCCTGCCGTTCCATCCCTCGATTCCGCGACCCCTGTAGTACAGGATTGACAGAACCAATTAGTGGTTCCGTCGATTTTTCACCGTTTCTGGGGAGCAACAATACCTCGGAGAGAGGTATCGAGTCGGTAAAAGGGAAAAAAGCAAAAATGAACGGGTTTGAAGTGACTGTAAAATCGAAATTGGGCTAGGAGATAGTAAAGGATAGGGTAATGAAAGTGGAATCGATGGTGTACATGGGCAGAGTCATTTATTTTTCCTGGATCGTTTGAACTCGGGCAATCCGAGCTGCAACTAAGAAAAAAAGGAAGAATGTTACTTAAAAAACTTCGTATACCCAAGACAGCTGCTATGTAATGTATTGAAACGAAAGGACAATTGCAACGACTCGAAATGGTTTCTGTTTATTGTGCAATATGCTAAAATAATATAAATACGGAAGAAATAATTTCAATTAAAAATATCACTTAACATTTACATATGTTTATCACGTCTACATTATGTATTAAAAATGTAAGTTGTAGGTTTTCGTCGTTTTCAACTCATATTTACTTTGAAATGATATAATTAACTTTTCTGCGAATAATAGTGATAACATTTCATGAAAATAGTGCAATAGTAATTATTAATACCTTAATTTTTACAATTTTATAAATAACACATAAACCTCAAGAGGAAATATACGGAATTTAAAATTAATTATTTATACCATAACATGGAAATGAAAGAAGTCAGTGTAACAAAAATAATTATGAGTTAATTCAAATATACAAACTTAGCAGCATCATATTGGACAATCAGTAAGGAATTCAATATTCGCTGCAAAGCAGTACGGTACTGCCATCCTACAACACAATTGCATACTACTTACACAGACTCGCAGATTTTACAGGTTACTTAACCACCGACAAGGAATAAGCTAAACTGCATATCGTAAGGATTTACTGCTTAATTAACACGATAAAATACCGATCATCATAAAAAGCGTACATTTTGCCAAAAAGTCTCTTATCAATGGTTTTGATATGTTTTCTACGATCCAAAAATTGAAGTTGATGAAATGAACAAACGTAAAAAACTCATTTGCAAGGTTAACATTACATTTACGTATAATATGTATCAGATCTCATGGTAAAAACGAATTACTCGCATAGCAAAAGCTGTCCTTTGGCTAGTGGTGCCAACTATGGCAAAATACTCAAACATATAGCACGAATCGATTTTCTGTGTCTCCGTCATAGCGATTTGAGTGTTTACCGTAGATAGAGCTACAGCTTTTCGAATGTAGATAATGCAAATCACATTATATAATCATTAATAACGGTGAAATTGTAAGATGAAATTAAATTTAAGGCATATCAAGTTTTTATTAAAATCAAAGTTAAATATTTATGCATTACTTAATTTTATTTCAAAATTTAGATTATTTTTAAACGGCAAAATTGAACATTAAACCAGCTACTTCATGGAAAAATACATCACTTTATTAAATCTATACAAGGCAGTAATAACATTATCGAACTAAGTACTCACTTACTACTCACTAACTATATAATTAATAAAAATAATTGGGCGTATAAATATATAAATTATTATATTGTATGATGATTTACAAGATAAATTCATCTACCAAATGATTTAGGTTCATGAATCAATGGAAATTATTTTTTTAAATATTATCTTTGATAAATACTATTTCCATCGTTCAAATATTCCCGCCGCATGCATTTCTTGTTGACAAGTTATGTAAAACGCTCATAGCTAAAATGAACTATGTAATTAATTCGATTCCTACTAACAAGCCTAAAATTTTGTATTATCCGTAGCATTGAACGCGTCACCGAAATGGTGGGTCTTGAGACCCTAAACAGAAATTTCCATAAGCTGTAACGGCTGTAAGTACAGATCTTAAATCTGTAGATTGGAATAGCATCGTGTCGATTTAAACGCGTTTGTACACATGAAACAAGCTTTTACAATATTAAGATGGAATATTCTTTGAGTATATTTGATCTTATGTTCAGTCATAAAAGGAATGAAATAAATTTTAACTTCCCAGTTACTAACTCTGAACTAAACAAAAATTTAATTTCATTAATTATTTAAATAACGTTTCATAAGACTAAGTGTTAGCCATTGTTTCTGGTTGACTATATTTTATAAATTTTAAGTCAATAGTAATTGAAGAAAATGCGAGAAAATAAAAATAACTACAAACACTTGCAGAAATGTTTTCGTACTAGACAAAACTAAAATGGAGGATGGGAAAAGAATCGTAGACGTACATTTACATTAATTTATTTGTCTTACGATACAAGACAGATCGTACATACGTTTTGGTGATTGTAAAAGGTTGAAAAAAGCAAATAGAGTTCGATTGGATTCGATGCACGAGATTATATCGAGGTTCGGACAGACGACTTTTCGAGAGATCACCGTTTCTTTCTGCAATTTCATTTTCTATGTTTTGCAAGTAATTCTCCTGTTATTTTATTTTCTTTCTCCAGGGCGTCTGAGATACAAACTAATATGATTGATGTTGATCTTCGCATTTCCCTTTTTGTATTTCATACCTATTTGTAGACATGAATGAGACGCGCGCCGTGCAATAGAATAATTGACGAGTGTGCATTTTTATATTTATTCCCGGTTTATTTTCGCCGCTTTGGTGCTACAAGTATTTTCTCTAGATGTATTGGTCGCCAATTTCGATTTTTATTTATCTTCTGTGTCACACATTCTAACGACAGTCTTCATTTCACAGTTCCCTTGACGAAGCAAACAAGACAGTTGATTCCCTCGAACATCCCTGGTCTGGCGGCCGTCGAATTTAGTTCCTGAATTGATTTTTACCGTTTCACCGATGAAACTTCCGAGCGAAGAAGCCGTGTCATCGTCGTGCTGATAGATCGGAAAAGCTCTAGAAAGACTTCAGATTGTACGAGCAAATCAAACACGAATCCCTGCATTTAGAGACACAAGGGGACACTTTTTCACTTGGTATTCGATTAGTTACAACAAGTTTTTTTTCAGTTTTTTTTTCATCGTATCTTATCCTTACGTACACATGCAACGAGCACAAATCTTCGATATACCGCCTCTTCAATATACTCCTTTTTTTGTCGATTTTCTTACTTCTGCGTTTCGTAAACATCAATCGAAATCCGTCGTGCAGATCGCGACAGGGCTCGTTTGTGAAAGAACAGTTGATCGAAGAAGTGGGAGACGACGGTGAAAAGATAGAAATAGACTGGTAGCCAATGGTTAAATAAGAAAAATATCGTATATTGACTCTGCTGAGTTGTATCTTATGTGTACCCGTCGAAGCGATGCGAATCGGCGATGATTTCGTTTCATTTCGGTATGCAATCGATGGACGTGTCGAGCTTCGATGATCCACAAATGTCTGTTTCTGTGTAAGTACATTTACTTTCATTCTCGTTTTCCGAATAACCGTGAGAATTTCTCAAGGGCAAAGTGTTTCCTTTTGTTCTGACGTCACGACCGTTTAGCATTGCTTCAAGTTTCGACGGTCTCGACGATTTTATT